TGTGTGTGTGTGTGTGTTGCTGTGTGAAGCTGCTGGCTGCAGCTTTTCTGTCACTGCGGGCGCTGAAACGCAAAACCTTTCTTGGAAACTGATTCCAGGAACCTCCGTCAGTCCAGATGAACGGAGCTGCTTTCTGGCGCTGGGCTGCAGGCTCTCACTTTGACTTCAGCTCCGCGCCGGAGACGCACACGGACGCTTTTTCTCATTTTGTGACTTTTCCAGGGATGTTTAATGTCGCTGCCATCCGAGGACTGTTGTGACAATTAAATATTCAAATCGGACTTTTCTTCAGCTGGTTTTCTAACAAACCTTATGGTCGCTCTGGATTTAAGGTGAGATGGTTTCAGACACGGGGTTTGTAGATAGTAGTTGGGGGGCATTTATTTACGCTGTGTATTTATATTCTGCAGAGCTGCTTGTTGTGTCATAAAGTAAAGCTGCCATTATGATTTTAAATCGCTCGTGTTATGTGTGCATGTCTCTGTGCACAAAGTATTTTACTTTACTATCATTAACATTTCTACGTAGTAGCATGAATTGGCATCATAATTACTATTTATTATTGGTAGTTGTTTGTGTGGAACCCATAAACAACAGCTGCTATTAAGTGCTGATCCAAAAAAATAATAAAAATTAAACAAAGAACTTGCATGAATTTACAAAAATCTGTTTTGTTTTTGCACTTTCTTATAAAAAATGTTGGCTATAAATTACACTATCCTAATACTGAATAGACTGCATGCTGTCTGCAGACTTATTAATTTGTTATTTTATAGTTGTTTTTTATTGTTATTCTGTGGATCTTTTTGCTTGCCTGGTTTTGTGCTCCTTTGCTCATCAGTAATTATGAAGGTTTATCAGCTAATATTGTGCAACCAAAACATAAATATAACAGCTGAACTTTACTTCAGAGACTATTTGGAGCATAATCCGTTAGAGTCTAGTTTAATATGATTATTTTGTTTATCCTCTAACATGAATATAATTTTCAGGCCTCCTGTCAGTCAGAAATGGTTGCCCGGGCAGTGACCATTTTCCATCATGAAGAACGAGGAGGTTCCTGCTGCCCACAGCCGTCCCCTCCACACTGGGATCCCACAGAAGACCTCCGCTGCATCACCGCCACCTTCCAGTATCTACACACCTCAGGTACACCAGCAGCTCGACTCTGACTTCACATCTGGTTCCACTGGGAAGCAACAGTTTGTGTCTGAATCCAGTTCGGTCATTTATTGAATACAGTAGACAGCTGAGGGGGGGTGATCTTGTTTCTGCACTAGAGTGAGTTTTGGAATCAGACTTGGCCCTGACAGCCTCAATGTGGTTCTATTCACCCAAACGTCCATGTTAATAAATGATGTCTTTTTCCAGGTTGGTACTGGGGTCCTATCTCAGCGAGTGAAGCTCGGGAAGCTCTCCTGACCAAGTCTGAAGGCACCTTCCTGGTGCGGGACAGCAGCCACCCTCAGTACATGCTGGCTCTGTCTGTGAAGACCCGCTATGGACCCACCAGCGTGCGCATCGAGTACAACAGGGGCTGCTTCTGGCTCGACTCCATTTCCCCCAGCCTGCCTCACCTGCAGTCCTTCCCGGATGTTCTCAGCCTCATACAGCACTACTCTGGCTCAGGACAGACACTGCAGGACCAGGCGTCCAGTGACATTCGCCCCCAAACCAAGGCCGACCCTGCACAGCATGCAGCTAAAGACAGCGGAGTCCCTCTGAAGCTGACGTACCCGCTGCACAAACAGGAGGTTTTCCCTTCTTTGCAGCACCTGACTCGCCTCACCATCAACAGACGCACAAACTGCCCCGACCAGCTGCCCCTCCCAAATCCTCTGCTGCGCTACCTGCAGGACTACCCTTTCTCAATATGAGGATCTCTGTCCCTGGGACACAAAGACAGGGTCAGGGTCACACTCCATGCTGGCAGTCTGAGACAGCAGGCAGCAGAAGACGGTCCAGAGGGAGACAACTGTAATGACTTTAGTACAATAAGTCTCAGTGTGACCTCCCTGCTCATGAAGGAACACAATCTCACTGCAGTGCTGTTTTATTTAAATTATTTTTATATGTCTGCTTCAGCTACTGTGAAATGCCAACATGCAAGTCATTGCTGATTGCTATCTTTTTTTCTGACCTTTTGCCACCAATGAGAGGTCCTCCAACGTCAGTCGTTTTCCAAAAAAGGCAGCCAAACCTATGATTGAATAAATCCCTGGAAAAGTAGCTCCTGATTGCTTTGCTGTTTCTGCAGAGATTACATAAGAAATAATTTGGGTTTTGTGTCTTAAGATCTCTGTTTTTTTTTCTCTGCGTCGGAGCTCAAGAGGCGGGGTTACTCTTCGAACAGAGCAATGTTTATTCACACTTCACTGAATCAGTGGACCTCATGAGCTGTGGCAGCGATCTCATGCTCCACACCTGGAACTCCTGGACACAACTGTGGTCATCACAAAGTCGCAGAAATGCTTCAGAACATATTTCTGCTTTTTGTTTTTATTTTCTGGTATGCATGTTGATGAGTTTTGAGACGGGTGGCGTACAAGAGGTTTGTCAACTTGATGACTCTCTTCCTTCTTCACATGTTTAAATCGAATCCATCCAACAAAAAAAAAAAAAACAAGGGTTGTGGTCAGGATGATGCTACATGATCTGCAGACTGGGGGGTAGAAGTGGTTCTCCAGTCATTGTGAAAGACCCAGTAAAAGATAGAGTACAGTGTGTCTTCTGTGTTTCTTTCATGTGCAGTATCTCCTGATGAGAAATCAGATAAGAACCACATCCTTGCACATAATCATAACCACTATCAATTGCTCTTCAATGAAAACTAAAGCCAGTACAGGACATCTGGTTGCTAACTGGTTTTATTCTTAGAAGATGATCTTTGAAATTCAGAGAAATAAACACCAGAAATGTTTTCTCTTTTCAAAGTGGTTGTTTTTTTTTTTTCCTCCACTTTTGAATGAATAGATGTGAGGTATTACTGTTTTCATGGAAACGCTTCTGAGTTGGTTTCCACGAGTTGGAACTGAGCAGTGCTGAGAAAGCCTCTTATCAGGATTAGAGTAGGAGCTGCAGTTATTAATACACTGCTGCGCCAACTGAGAATAGCCTCTCTGTTTGTCTCTCCCTGCCTCAACTGACTAATCTGAAAGGTTTAAATCATTTCTGAGTCCATAATTAAACGTTTTGCATCATCTGAACACTTCTGTCAAACACGGCGTCTATCAGGATCACATGTCTGTTTATCAGGATGGTGTTGTTTCACGCAAATTTAACGCAGCATTATACTGAATGCACGCCTCGGTTCAGCAGCACTTGCATGCAGTGGTGGAAGAAAAGCTCAGCTCAGGGTCAAAGCGGCAGTAATGCATTGTAAAAACAGTCTAATGGACGTTTCAATCTTTATTTAGTAAAAGTCTCGAGTCTTGCTCGTGAATAACGGCATCAAGCATAAAAAGAAATATTCATGAAACAGATCAGTCACTTTCAGGGTCTTTAATTATTTTTGCTTTTTTGTAATCCTTCATTTTTTAATGCATTAAAAACAGCTGGTTAAGGTGGAGCTTACTATAAAATATATATTCTGCTTATTGTCATGATGGATTGCATTTTACAAGAGAGTCTTGTAAAAATATAAATCTGTAAAGCAGATCATTGCAAAAATAGTTCACTGCATGTGAACTGATCATTTTAGTACTTGCAGCATTTGCAAACAGAAAATATCAGCCAAGTTGGAGAGCATGAACCGCTGAAGCTAAACATGTGCTTATGTAACAGCACCGAGGTGGGCTGTTGCACTTTTTTTTTTTTTACGTCATCTTGATCCTCCGTTGTTGCAGCAGTAGAGGCATCGATGCAGTCATCACAAAGAGTATTTCACTGTGTATTAAACTATCATGGTCTCTATTTCAACATTTTAAAATTAAACTTTTGTCAGAATTACCAATCAATAATCTATTAAAAGACGGCAAACCTGGGCCCATGAATCGTTCTAGAACTAATGGACACAATGCACAAAGAGAGAAGAGGATAGAGGGTTCATAGTCATCAAGCAACTAATTGTTGCTCTGAAGCCAAGATAAGCCAAAGTAATTCTGGCCACTGTAGCTCAGAATAGTTTGGCACAGAACAGTACAGTTCAGTACAGTACAGTAGAGTTCAGTACAGTAGAGTTCAGTACAGTAAGGTTTAGTGTAATTCAACAGGAGCAGATGTACTCGTTTAAATTTGCGTCAGAACTGGTGAAAATTTGGATTTTTTATGTGCATTGCAAGTGTCTGGCAAAATGGCTCTACAGCGCCCCCTACAATTATTTTTTTCACATTTGTAACATCTATGTACGTTTCACCTACATCGAAGAAAATTGGTAAACATATGCAACACATTGGGCCGCATGAAAAGTCAGTGACCGCCAAACCCTCAACCCAACAGGAAGTCCGCCATTTTGCGTTAGCCGTGTATTTCCTGGAGGTTAACTCCTCATAGTTGGTAACTCCTAGAAACCTCAGATTTAGCCCGTACATACAGCAGGCCTTACTGAGAAAAAGTTATCAACATCATCTGCAACACTCAAAAGACGTGGCCATGGCAGCCTCCTTCGCCATGAAACAGGAAGTACTGTCTAACTACCCTGTACCTGCTCCAACCTGCCTCAAACTTTACTGGTTTGATCAGAGTGCTGCCCTGATCACATCCATATGCCAATATCCAGTCACAGTCATAGCGCCACCTGCTGGCAACAGGAAATGACACTTTGAAGTCGTACTGTAAGACCGTTGATCATCCATCCATTATCTATACACCACTTAATCCTCACTGGGGTCATGGGGGTCTGGAGTCTATCCCAGCTGACTCAGGGTGAAGGCAGGTTCACCTGGACAGGTAACCAGTCTATCACAGGGCTACACTTAGAGACAGACAACCAAGCACACTCACATTCACACCTACAGACAATTTACAATCACCAATTAACCTCAACATGTTTCTGGACTGTGGGAGGAAGCCGGAGAACCCGGAGAGAACCCACGCTGCACGGGGAGAACATGGAGACTCCACACAGAAAGATCCCGGTGCCCCCACCGGGACATGAACCGGCGACCTTCTTGCTGCGAGGCAACAGTGCTACCAACTGCGCCAACCAGCAGCCCCACCGTTGATCATATTAACGTCAAATTTGGTGACATAGGTCTTCACATGTTGATGATGACTCACCGTGAAAATCGTGCGTTTATGTCAAACGGCGTGTCTGTGACAACACGGTATTTATAGGATTCTTCCGTTTTGGTGTCACAGAATTCAGAAAATGCTCATCGTTGCAAAAGAAAACTTACATTTTCTTCTGTAGTTTGCACAAGAGGAGCCTGAATAAGCACCGGCTGAAGTAGCAGTTAGTGCTGTGTGTGGGGTTTTGCAGCACTTTGATGGTGACGGTTGCAGGATTACTAATGACGGACAAATGAATCACTTCTTTCCAACTGAACAGATGCTATCAGGTAGAAAGGATCACTCCACTTCCTCATCCTGCTGCTGTTTGATTCTGGATTGTGCCTTGAAGTTGCTCTGTGCTTGTCTTTCTGTCTTGCAGGTAAGATGGAGACCGACCGGCCTGAATACCCAGCAGCCACCGCTCTCCTGTCCCACAGCTTAGCGGTGGTCCAGAGCTCCTCGGTGGCGGCTCGGTGTGAGCTATGGAAACAGAGCGGCCTGCTCGCCTACGCCTGCATGAGCTGAGTACAGACGGCAGCTCAACGTCACAGCTCAGATCCTGCAACAAATCCTACACGTTGTTCTGAAGTCATTGTAGCAGCCATATTTTCTCACTTAGCCCTTATAGTGGTATCTCTCCATGCACATATTTGTGTCTAGATTGTCCCTGATGTAAAACAGGTGAATGAAATAGAATTCATGAATCTGACTGCAGTGAAAAATGAGCTTTGATTGCATAAAAACATTCAACAGAAAAGTGCTTTTCCAGAAACAATGTTGTTGCTTTAAAAGACAGACAGTTGAACCTGTTTGCATAAACTGGAGCAAAGTGTTTTTTGTGTTTTAATTTGGGTGTATCTGCCCTTTAGCAGGCTTCATGTGTGATTAAACCTGGAGCCTGTTGAGCATGAAGACTCTTGAAGGAAACATGTGGAAGTTTAGAGGAAAGAGAAAGTTATTTTTAGGCCGTGTCAGAGTAAAATATGAAGCGTCCTGTGTTGGAAAGTGACCATAAAGAGCTACATGAAGGAAAATTATCATCCTGAATATTTAAAACATGTAAGAAATTTTATTTCTTTAACCTTCAGAAAAAAAGCAGCATAATCAGATCTGTGCAAACAACTCAAACAGGAGCTAAAAATAGTGATCTGGTTATCGCCACTTTTGCAGGAAGTCTGACAAACAGCAAAGTCAAACATGTAGAAATCTGCCGTCCTACTGACCCCAAAGTCTGGCACAAAAAACACACGACGGCCTCGAAGCAGTCGTTTGTCTTTTCATGATTCTGTAGTTCTGCAAAACATCTGATAACGTTCCTCTTGTTTTACAGAATTTTGTAGAAATCACACTAATAAAGAAAGAAACACTGCCGAAGAATATTACATCAGGAAGGAGTAATATTTGCTGTTAAATATTAAGATTATGCTAAAAAAAAAAATGCATTAAGGTGGTAGATGTAGGAAGTTCCCACGTCAAGAGCTTAAAGAGGATTCTACTCACGCAAAGTTCAATAACGAAGACGTCCAGTTGTTTTATTTTTACGTGGACGTAATTTCTTAGCCTAAATACAAACTATTTAATTGCATTAAAATTAGATTTCATGATTGTTTATTCACTGAAGTTGCTCTGACGAGTTCATTTTGTGAATTTGTACAAATTTTGAATCACTTTGGAGGATTGTGATTCATTTTAGACAAATTTTGTGTAATTTTCAACAAGTTATTTTTATTTGCAACAAGTTTGAATCCTTTTAGACAAATTTCAAATAATTTTGCACAAGTAGATTCTGTTTTCGACAAATTAATGAGATTTTTAAAAAGGTTTGGTTCCTTTTAGACAAATTATAGTTTCCTCTTTGTGTTTCTTGATACCTGAGATCTTTTGTTTGGCGTCTTACTCTGCAAATATTGCAAATGAATGAAATGAAGAATATTTCATGTCAATAAAAAAAAAAGAAGTTTCAATGCTGCTTTTTAAGTTAAAGTCACTGAAGTACAATCAATCGGTTAAAGTTAATTCTGTGAGTTAACTGAGCTCTAAACCTGAAGGCAGTAAGCTTTAAATAAAACATCCTAGTTAGATTTATTTTGCAGTGACTGTGTGTTTATTCTGTCACTAACTAGGAATTATTAGTCTAACGTTTGCAGCTGTTTTTGTTCCAGAAGTGAGCATCTACTTTAATTATGATTCACAATAAAGACACTCATCTAAGTTACAGCATTAAATCCAATAACGGTGAAGCTGTCAAGTGTCCTAATAACCTAAAACCGAAGCTGAACAACTCTGATGAGTTTATGAAGCAGTCAGTAGGACGTTCATTGAATCTTCTGCAAAAGTTTGTTGCTTCCCCATAAAAGAGCGACAGCTGTCTGTCTCCCAACCCTCTGCCTCAAACTGTACATGTGATCAGAGTCCTGCCCTGATGACATTCTCACATTATTATCCATCCACAGACACAGCGCCACCTTCTGGCAATGAGGAATGACACTTGTAGTTGCTATTATTAGCTGGTTGCCCATATTAACCTCAAGTAACTGGCTGCAAGTTTGCTTTATAATTTGCATCAGAGTATGGTGTATGGTGCAATTGTTATTGTTATTATTATTATTATTATTATTATTATTGTTGTTGTTGTTGTTGTTGTTGTTGTTGTTTTTAGGGGCTGTTTTTCATCTGTTTTCTTCATATTTTTCTCATTATTATTAGGAAAAATGATAAAAGACAAGC